GAACCTATATGGGATACGATATGCATAGTAAAGACTAACTTTATTTATTCATATTGGATTCAATTTCAAGGGATACTAAGTCATAATAAACTTTCCGTTTTTTTTCACTTCTACAATGGAACCATATCCGTCTAAAGTTAATCAAACTATTCAATTTATAACAATATACAGTAATGATTCACCTTTTTTTTTTTTTGAGAGTATTTGGGTTTGTACACCACAGCAAAACCATGATGATCAATTTAAATTTAAAAATAAAAAAACTGCGCGCAAGGTTGTACTCAACTAAACCTTTCTAAGCCCTGATTCGCTATGTAACAACCCATTTATTATCCAAATTAGTAACTGATCGTAGGCCATTATTTACCTGTAGAAATATTGATCAATCCATGATGATTTGATGTCAGACTGCATCAAGTGACGCATTTCCTCGAATTAATTCGTATCACATATATTCAATAGCGAAATTCGTGTCAGAGAAAAAGAACAAATAAGAAAATAAGAAAATGTAAAAGGAAAGATATAAAAGAAATAAAAGAAAGTGAATGAAATAAAAGAAAAGTGAATGAAATGAAAGAAATAAAAGAAAGTGAATGAAATAAAAGAAAAGTGAAAGAAATGAAAAGAAGAAAAAATAAAAAAAAGCAAAATTGACATAAATAAAAATAAAAACTTTTAATCTTCTCGATATCAAAGATAATTTGCACATTAACAGGGAATGTCGTGAAATCAATAATCAATCCAGTGAAAATTTACCAATCAAACTTTCTGATACCATAGCATTCCATATTGAAGAAAGATACAGTAGCTTTAATTATGTATCACGATGCTACTTAGTTCCCTTGAAATGTTATAACTTCACAGTAATATCTCGTGTATAAAAAAAATCAATCCACACAAATGCGCTCAAATTAATTCAATTACTAATCTAGATGTTTCAAGGACTGTTCTCACGATTAGATAACATGCGAGGTGCAAATTCCCCAGAACGGTTATAAATAGAACAGCAAAAATGCATCCATCATGCATTTAGAATATGCTGCGTAATCAAAATTAGATGTTCATAAACTTTTTCCTATTTATTGTAATTACGTCGGTGGAAATTGGTCTCCAGGACGAATCGCGTTCAAAATGTTCAAACAGTACAAGTTTGGATAAGAAAGCTCTATACCTCGGAAAGCATACTCAAATTTATAAAAGTGTTTTGAGGCATCAAGACCTGACGAAATAAAATAAATACACAAGGTTTCTGTCATTTCAGTTTCTGTTATTTCAGTTTCTGTCATTTCAATTTCAATAAATTCGTTTTCTCTGTTTATCAAAATCCATGGATAATCGAAAAGAACTTTACGATTCTATCGCTGTTAAAGTACCTTATCCGCCAACAGTCACGGCCGAAGAATTGTTTAAATCCCAGAAACCAAATAATGAAAAAAAACCAATTAAAGTAAGCAATAGCTTCATGGTTTACCGTAGAGAATTTTATAAGGAATTAAAGAAGACACATCACGGAATACCACAATGCATAGTATCTCGCTTGGCGTCGAATTCATGGAAACTCGAACCCAAAGAAGTCAAAGAGAAATATCTTAAAATCGCTCGAGATTTGGATATGCTGTTCTTAGAATCAATCGAAAAAGAGAATGCTCAGTTTCAGCCTTTGCCTCTAACTCCCATCACCTCGATTCCTGATTTGGCATACTTTCCACATTCAATTTGTCAGGAGATTGAAGTCAACCCTGGCTTACTATATACTCAGGGCGAGTCACCAGTAAAAGAAAATACCTTCAATGGGGACCCTTTTCAATATAACATGTGTCCATGTTTTATTCCTTCTCAATATGAAAGTTTACTCTTTCAAGAAGAGACATATTATAATGCTTATCAAGAAGCGTACACAAATTATATCTGTCAAGAAAATTCAGATTCTTACACATATTTTACGGAACAACCGGAATATTCTGAACATCCGGAATATTCTGAACATCCGGAATATTCTGAACAATCATACTTTGACATGAATTGGGGCAATTATTGGTATTATCATAGACAATAAAAAATTAAAAAACTAAAAATTAAAAATTAAAAACTAAAAAAAAATCGAAAAATTAACGAAAAAACTCCAAAAAATTAAGGAAATAAGGTTAAAATTACGGAAAATAAGAAAAAATAGGCAAGTAGGAAATAAAATCGTATTATAAGCTACATGTAATTTATTAAGTAAGCTAATATTTAAACATGATAAATTCACAATAAATTTACGCGTTTTTTTTAAATAATAATCTCGTTGAAATGTATGTTCGTTAAAAAAATTTTTTGAAAGGTTAATATACAAGGAGAAAACTCATTGAAAATTGGAATCTGCTCGATATATGACCCTAACGCCTTTTTCATTTGTCACAATTAATTATTCTATTCCGAGCTACTTATTTAGCTATTATGTTGAACATCTCTGTCGTATATTGTAACAAAATGCTAAATTTGGCGATGATTTTCAACATTGTGATATACAATGTGATCAGAGGCTTCAAATCAACAATATCAACAATGGCACTGATTACATGTCACCAGGCAGCCACTTGATCAGAGTCTCACAGATCTATTTATTTGTTATACATTTTTAAGTGAATTTCTGTACACCAATAATTTACAAGAATTCTGCGCGAGTGACTCATGTGGAATACAGTTCTTGCGATCTAGAATAATAACTTGACTCTGCTCCGTACATTTAATTTGGCAAATAACTGAATTCTTTTACGTAATGCTATATCTAAAAGGAAGTCTTAAATAGGAAAACAAAACGTGACCAAAATTCATAACTAGTTCAGAAATTTTATTGATTTAATTACGTAAATTAGTTATATTTTTATTTTATTGATTCTTTTACTTTATATTATTTTGGTTAATGTTATATTATTATCAATTTTTAAAAATGTATTACGTAATTAAAAAGCATTCTAAATTATATTATTGTGTAATTAAATTTGAATATTACAGATTATAAATAAAACAAGTGATAAATAAATACAAATATAAAGAATCCTCTTTAAATATATTCTTTCTAAAAATATTTGTTGTGTGTTTTTTTTTAAATACATAATCAAACTTGATTTCAAGTATATAATATATATTTTTAAAAAAATTTTATAATTTTGAAGAAATATATTTAAAATTTTTATTATATTTATTTTTAAAACTTTAATAAATAAATATATACTATATATACTATATATTATAAATCATTTTGATATTTTTTATTTATTTATTGCTTAAAAATTACTATATAAAATTAACAAAAAATATATCAAGATAAATTTAAAATATAAAAATTTTATTAATATACAGTATAATTAATAATTGATATTTGATATTTTTTTATTATAAGTTGTTTTAATTTTGAAATTTTAAAATCTATGTATTTTTTGTTAACAATAAATTAAAGATTTTTCAAGATTATTTAAATTTCAATTATTCAAAGATCAATTCATAATTTTAAAAAAAAATTTTTTTAATAATTTTCTCATTTTTTAATTTAATAAAATTATTGATATAAAATTTTATATTTAAAAATTTTTTTAAAATAAATTCTTTTCAAATAAAAACTTTATATAATATTACATTTTTATATTATTAATTAATGATTTTTTAATTGTTATTAAGATATTTTTTTATTTACACTATATAAATATTTTTATAAACAATGATAAATCTATATTTTTATTAAATATTTTAAAATATATAAACATAATACTTTTTTTTATTTTAAATAAAATATTTCTTATGATCTTTATTAATAATTAATATGTATTATATGATTAATATTAAAATATAATATATATTGTTATATATATCAATCTATCATCATATTAATAAAAATATTTCTAAAAAAATCGTGAACAAAAAAGAAAAAAAAATTATCTAATCTTAAAAAACCAATATTTTTTTAATACATAATTATAGTATTTTTGTTTATTTAATTATTTTAAAATATTAAAAATTTTTAAAATATATTATTGTATATACAGCAATAAAAAACTTTTTTGAAGTTTTTTATATTATTTAAAATTTCAAAAAATAAATATTTTTTAATAAGTTTATATTATTTTATTTATAAGTTTTAAAATATATGTAAATAAAATTTTATAAATTTTAGTGATTTTTATTTAATTATAAAATAAAATATGAAATTAAAAAAATTATTACTCATATAATATATATCTTGTATTATACAAATCAAATAAAAAAATAATATTTATATATATATAAACTTTTCTTATTTTTCTCAAATATTTGAAAAACTTACCTTTTTAAAAAAATTTAATAAGACAAAAATAATGACTTGTCAATTTATTTTTTTCTTTAAAGAAACTTTTTCTCTTCCTTTATTATTATTGAAAGTAAAAATTTTCTTTTAAAGAAAATATCTGATTGTTCTTTTTTTGTTATAGCCTTTAATATATTGTTAGTGTATAAAAAGGTGATAGAAAATAATAAGGAAAAAGATATAGTAAGTATATCAAGTATATCAAGTATAATAGGTATAT